ATTGTGGCTTCCTCGTGGTCAACGAAGCACATCTCCTTCCTTCACCACCCTCCAGGGCAGCTTTGTCCCTGTAGGGTCTCCCTACAAGCAGATACCGGCTGGTTTTCATGGAGCTCACGGACCTCCACTATTTCCAGCTGTTCTCACCATGACGCCAACCGGTTCTGTGCAATAAGAATTTTTGAGCTGCTGCCAGTCTCCACCTGGGAGTTTAAAGGCTTTGCAAAACTCGATGATCCCAGTTCAGTCAAACTTTGAAGCATCAGGAGAAAGTTGTCACCAGGAAGCATCCTGCTTGCTTCTGCCTGCTCCAGGTGACTTTTCCTAGAATAGAATAGAGGTGGAAGGGACCTTGGAGGTCTTCTAGTCCAGTCCCCTGCTGAAACAGGAGAACCTATACCATCTCAGACAAGTGACTGTCCAGTCTCTTCTAAAAAACCTTCAGTGATAGAGCATCCTCAATTCCTGGAGGCAAGATCTTCCACTGGTTAATTGTCCTCACCGTTAGGAAGTTTCTCCTTAATTTCAGATTGCTTCTTCCTTTGATTAGTTTCCAACTGTTTCTTGTCCTGCACTCTGGTGCTTTGGAGAATAATTTGAGCCCTTCTTCTTTGTGGCAGCCTCTCAAATGCTGAAATACTGCTATCATGTCACCCCCTAATTCTTCTTTTCTTTAGACTAGCCAGACCCAAACCCTGCAACTTCATATGGTTTAGTCTGCAGGCCTTTGATCATCTTAGTTGCTCTTCTCTGAACTTTTTCCAAAAAGGCAGTGCACTAAATCCCTAAACAGAAAAGCTAGAAGAAAGGCTTGCAGAGGAGACGCATCTCTACCCTCTGCCTCTGATTCTGCTAACGGAAAAATGATGCAAGGCAACCCTATTGGCAGGCCCAATGGCAATGCTCTTAAAGCCTCCAACTGTTCGATCTTCAAAAAGGCTGATGGCTAGTATTGATAATTTGTTCTTCCTTCTCTCCCAAGAAATGTCAAGACAGAGAAGTGGAGGTTGCACCTTTTCACAACTGTGGAGAGGCTTCAACATCTCACCATGCTAATGGCAGAAGCCCTGTCTCTATTGATTTGCTGATATGCCAACAGACAGAATCTTTGTGTTCCTATTTCAGGATCCATTGAAAGAATCCCTTCCGTTAGAGAGCCTGAGAGATGTGGAGAGTCCCAGTCCATCAAGGTAGGTAGCACCTCAGAGGGGGAAGACCCCCTACTGGTTCACAAGGGGCTTTCATTTACATTTATTTCACCTTTTTGCTCTGGACTGAAAACTTGGAAGACAAAGCCATGGAAGAGGAGCTCTGTCCTAAATGGGGAGAAAACACATTCCTCAGAGGTAAGCAGGTTTTGGCAATGGGGACAATGGAGGCCATGCCATAAGTCCTGATGAGGAAGGGGAGAAATTGTGCAATATAGCCTCCTAAGCTTAAGGTTTCCAAAGGCCCTCCTGCTGTTGGCTTTAACTATCTGATTGAGATTCAGGAAGCTTAGGATTTAGCAACCACAGTGTCATTTGCAGGACTTCATGATATTCCTGGTGGGCTCCAGGATCAGCAGCTTGGAGGAAGTAAACTCCCTTGCTGACCTTCTGGATGAGGAGTCAGAGGGAAGCTGGGACCAGGATGCAGTGGCTTCCAAGGCCAGCGTTTCTTCCAGTCCATGGGTAAGAAAGACAAAGTGTTTTCTGTTGGGGAGGGATGGACGCCCTCTGGTCAGTTCTCCTAAACTAGTGAACTGTGCTGGAGTGCAGTGGGTTCTGGAGCCAGTGCAGAGCTGCCTAGTCTTCTGTTGGGCAGTGAATATGGCAGTACCAACAGGAACAGTTAATTTGGTCATGGCTGTCAGGACGCTTTTCAAAGTAAGTGTGGCCATCTCAGCAGCCATGAAACTGGCAGTAGGAGAAAAAGTCATGCTTCCCAACGCTTCTGACTGACTCACATCTATTTGTCGTCTCTTCACAGCTCATCTGGAAAAGAGGCTCAGTGGTTTCCTGTTGCATTAAGGATGACGCGGAGGACCTTCCTGTGCCTCCTGACAGGTACCACAGCCTTCTCCTTAAACTCTCGGCATGGTGGGGGACCATTGATGGACTGTAAGAGAATCTGTAAGAGCCTCTCCCCAAGGTGGCTTCCTGTCTCAAAGGGCTTGTGGGGGCAAAAGATGGGCAGGCTGACTGGCCGGTCTTAGAAAGGGGAGGCTGAGGTAGATGGATGTTCTTTGACATGTCACCTTCTTCTTTTGCTCAGGTCTGACCAGGCACAGAAACATGGTGAGCAGCACGGCTGCTCCCCTCATGGAGACGCATCTTCATCTAGAGGGGTAAGGATGATTTTGCAACATGCCCAGTGGGGATCCATGCCACAAAACAGGATGGGGGAACCTGATCAGCCTAACGAATTCAAGAAGAGCCCGTTGGATTCATGGGGATATGTTGCAGAGAACTTTGATTTATTTTATCATTTGATTCAAATGAACAATTATTACTTTCAGGTTTTGATAGGTGTTCATGCCACCATCAGGAACCCCAGGAAGGAAGATGTGATGCCTGTTCACAATTTGTGGAGGTATGCGTTCTCTCAAACCTCCACGTAGGCTGCGCCTCTCCACAATTATGGAGCGCTCCACTGAATCGGTAAGGCCTGAACATCTCCTCACAATACTAATGGCCTTGATTCTGCGAATTTGTTAATATGCCAATAGAAAGAATATTTTCATTGCTATTTTAGGATCCATTGGAGGAATCCCTTCCAGCAGAGAGCCAGAGAGAGGTGGAGATTCCCTATCTATCCAGGTAGGTAGCACTTCGAAGGGAGAAGACCCCGCTGGTTCACAAGGGGCTTTGGAGGAAAAGATGGACAGGGTGAGTGACTCATCTTGGAAAGGGGAAGCTGAGCTAGCTTGATTCCTTAAACATCTCACCTTCTTCCTCTGGACAGGACTCTAACGGGGGAAGACCAGGAGAAAGAAGAGGAGCTCTTTCCCAATGGGGAGAAAACACCTTCCTCTGAGATAAGGTTTTGGCAATGGGGCCGAAGGAGGCTATGACATAAGTCCCTTGCTGACCTTCTGGTTGAGGAATCTGAGGGAAGCTGGGAGGATGCTGCAGAGGCTTCTGATGCTAGCGATTCCTCCAGTCCATGGGTAAGAAAGACAATGTGTTTTCTGATGGGGAGGGATGGAGGTCCTCTATTCACTTCTCCTAAACTGAGTGAACTGTGCTGGAGCACTCTGGGAAGTGGAGCTAGGTGACACCTGGCCCTTGGGACAACATACTTAGGTTAACTATATGCACCCAAGTGCATATAGTTTGCTGCAATTGGTTCCTTTGCCAAAAATCAACAGGGAAGGTGCATGGCAGTGGACCAAATGAATGTGACCCACCCTGGTTATGCCTTTCCTTTTTGGGTCTCATCCTTTCCAGCACCCTGCTGCTTCATGGCAGGGCTTTAACAGGCAAAGAGTAGAGAGCCTACTTTTCTGTGGGAGAGGTGGGCTGGAAGTGAGGATTGCTTTTTAAATTCACAGGTTATGCAGCAAGAGAAGCATTGGGGGTTTTTTTGTTTTTTGTTTTTATTTGTTTTTAATTTGATTTATATGCCGCCCTTCTCCGGAGACTCAGGGCAGCTTATAACGCTTTTGATCAGGCATCCCCATTCAACAGGCCCTCTTTTAGGAATGCCGAGTTTCTTTTGCCCCGATGCCTAAAGAGGAACTATTGTCATTCACGGGATTCTCCCAAAGAAGTGGAAGTCACCCTAGAAGATCTCAGCAGCCTGGAAGAGGACTCCCTGGACTCCACTCTCTAATTCAAAGAGGTATCTATTTCAGGTTCTTCATGGATCACTGCATTGTCATGTCGAAAAATCTTGTGCAACTCAATGAAGCAATGAGCCATGCTGTGCAGGGTTACCCAAGACAGACAGTTCATAGTGGAGGGTCCTAACACAAGGTGACCCAGTGGAGAAGGAAGTGGCAACCCTCTCCAGTATCCTTACTAAGAAAACCCAATGAAAGGTATCAAAAGGCTACAAGCTGTGATGCCAGAAAATGACCCCCTCAGATTGGAAGGTGCCTAATGTGCTAACTGGGAAGACCAGAGGGGAATTAGAAGAACCTCCAGAAAGAGCAGAATTCTGCAATTGATCCGAGAACAGGTAGGGCAGGGAAAAGGCGGGAGCAGTGAAGTTCAGTCCGATTACTTGTGAGATGAAAATATTGGATTGTGTAGAGATGGATAGATTGACATTGAAAATAAAAGATAAAGGAGATTCAGAGTATTATTCAATGTGAAATAGGTTTTTATCAACGGTTAGAGATAAGAGGTAGACATTAGATGAAGAAAGAGCATTACTATATTCAAGTAAAATATGAATGTTGTATATAACTATAAGTCTGCTAATATCAATAGATAACCTGGCACGAAGAATTTCCATGCATGGCGATTTCAATTAAACTGTAAACAAAATTTCTACTGCAAATGAATGGCAATGTAGGATATCTTGCTTCAATATTGTCCTCTCGGGAACCTTGTTAATTGGTACAACATTTTCAATTGAAAATGGTTGCTTCAAGTTTACTTCAAGAATGCTTCAAGAATTGAGAACATAAGAGGACCACAAAAGTTCACTCTTCTGCATTACTCACAATTGTTTCCCAGAAACTCAGGAATATAATTTGTTTTACTTTGGGTGTAGAGTATGCACCGAGCTGAATATTATTTCCTTAGGCTCTCCGGCACTTGAGAAATCATTAAATAATGATCCGAAGATGTGAAAAACTGAACTCAGTACCCTCTGCATGAAAATATGCTCTGCCATTTCTTTTCTTAAATGGAGCACCCAGAACTTCTGAAGGCAAATCATTCCACTGGTAAATAGTGCTAGCTGTTAGGAAGTTTCTCCTTAGTTCTAGGTTCCCTCTCTCCTTGATTTGTTTCCCTCCATTGTTCCTTGTCTTGCCTTCTGGTGCTTTGGAAAATAGCTTTACTCACCATAGTTTCTCAGAAACTCCAAATGGTCTCCCCTCTTTTTTGTGCCTCAGTATCACCATCTAAATGGGAAAGAAAATCCTCTTGAATTCCTCTGTCTGATGGTCAGACTGACCTTCTCTATCAGGAATCATAAACCCATCTGTTGAAATCGTGCCCCCAAAATGCTATTGGCACATGCTCACTAAGGAACTCTGGCAACTTCTATCTGCACAAAAACACCAAACAAAGCAACAAAACAGTAAAATATGCAATATGCAAAAGGAGGTTTCTAAAACTGCTAATCTGAGGCCCTTCCTTACTTCCTGCCTTGGTTCCTCAGTGTGCACACAATGAAGAAAAGCAGGAGGGGGAGCATCCCTTCTCTTCCTCTAACGATGGCATCGCTCCTCTACCGCAGAGGGAAGGAAAGTTTTGCCATACGGCCGCTGGGGAGGTCATGCCTGAAGTCTGACTGGGGCTGGGGAGGAAATCTCTCCCGGGAGCCTGGCCAGGCCGGCAACCTCAAGAAGAAGAGCCCCTTGGATTGCAGCTAGACTTTTGGTGGCGCAATATTGGAAGAAGGAAGATTGGCCTACTATTGAAGAATGGACATTAAAAGTAGCGAATCTGGCAGAAATGGCGAAGATTTCGGCATATTTGAAAGATCACTCACAAGAAAGATATATATCGGAATGGAGAAGATGGATTGATTATATTCAAAACAAATATCGGACTAAAAGTATCAAATAGCTTATGAATGAATAGAAAAATTAAGAGTATTGATGCTTAGTTAGTAAAAGGGGAGTTAAATTGTGAAGGGGGGATAGGAATCCTTAGTTTATTAGCTTAGTTTAGCATATGATTGTCAATTGTATATCCTGTATTTTGTTCTGGGAAGTTCGGGGGGGGGGTCGGTGGGGGGGGGATAAGGAAGGGAGGGAGGGATGGGGAAATACTTATAAATTTTTTTTCCTCTTTCTGTAAAACTGTTTAATAAAAAAAAAGTCAAACATACAATAAATTTGGAAAAATGGGAAAAGTTTTGGCAAGTAAATATAAAATTAACAAGAGCAGTGGCGTACAAGGAAAACCAACTGAAAATGTTTTATAGGTGGCACATAGGTCTCCAACCAGACTGGCAAAAATACAGCCCAAAAATAGCCCGATCTGCTGGAAGTGTAAGAAGACAAAGGGACCTTCTATCATTTATGATGGACATGCCAGGCAGCAAAGAAATTTTGGTCTAACATCAAAAAATGGTTGGAACAAATAACAGAAACACAGATATATAAAGAACCAGAAAAGTTTTCACTAGGAATTTTTAATAAATCATACCCTAAAGATATTAAATATCTCACAATTCACATACTAACAGCTGCAAGAATAATATATGCAAAAAACTGGAAACAAGAAAAAACGCCAAACGAAACAGATTTAATAGAAAAAATTCTAAATGCGCTGAAATGGACAGGTTAACCAAAGAAATACAAGAAAGAGAAGAATCAGACTACTACAAAATATGGACTAAATGGTATAACTGGTTAAAAATTAGAAATAAACAAAAAATCTAGAGGGGAAATATTACCGGTATAGAAAACGTCATTAGACTAAGGAGAGGGGAAGAAATATATAACAAGCAGAATGTCACTTGGAAACAATGCTTAAGAAGGAAACATAATTTCTTTTTGTTTATATGTTGTATAAATGTTTGTTGTGTTTATGTCATGTTATTTTTTTTAATATTTATACTCTAATAAAAATTTAATTTTTAAAAAAAAGATTGGGCAATCATTTATCTGAGATGGCCAAGTCCCTTGGGTAGGGACTTGGACTAAAAGTCGCTTCCTCCCTAGGATGCCATGATTCCCTCTGTGCTTTGTGCCACAATGATGGGGCTTCTCTGTTGTTCGTGAACAGACAACTTCCCACAGGAAACCCAGAGGCCGAAGGCTACCGAGGGAGTCAGCCACCGGCCACTCCTAGATCCAGCTGAGCTGCCATCCTTGGGTAGGTATAAAAAATGGCTATTGTTTACCTGGTTGCCGAGGGAACGAGTTGCCCTGAAAAACCAGTAGCCACTGCACAGCTGCTCATTCTCCCTTCGTGCAGTGATAGGACGAGCACCTAGTTGGTCATGGCTGTGAGAAGGCTTTTCAGGGTAAGTGTGGCCATCTCAGCTGCCAAGAAACTGGCAGCGGGGGAGCAAATCAACTCTTCTGACTGACATGTGTCTATTTCTCTTCTCTTAACAGAACATCTGGAAAAGGTGTTCGCACCTTTTCTGTTGCCTGAAGAGCAACATTGAAGACCTTCCTGTGCCTCCTGACAGGTACCACCCTCTTCTCCTTAAACCCTGGCTATGGTGGGGCAACCTTGATGGCCTGCAGAGTCTGTAAGAGGCTCTCCCCAAAATGGCTTCCTGTCTAGAAGGGGCTTCAGGGGCCAAAAGATGGGCAGGCTGACTGGCTAGGTTGAGAAAGGAGAGGGTCAGCTAGATGAATGTTCTTTGACATGGCACCTTCTTCTTCTTTTGGTCAGCACCGAAGAGGCACAGGAACCGGATGACCAGCAGGGAGAATGGGAGACACATCATGTGTCTGATGGAGACGTCTCTTCCTTGCCTGGGGTAAGGATGCTTCTGCAACATGGGCAGTGGGGGTTCATACTTCAAAACTGGGTGGGGGAAGGGAAGAACTTGGGGGGAACCTGGCCAGCCTAGGAAACTGAAGAAGATCCCCTTGTTTCATACCTTCAATGAAACCATTGTTACTTGCAGGTTGTGATGGGTGGTCCTGCTACCGCCCGGAGTCCCAGGAAGGAAGATGTCCGGCCAGCTCTCATTTCCAGGAGGTTAGTGTTCTCAGCTGAGGGATTCTGGGGAGAAGGGCTAGAAGAAAGGTTTGCAGAGGGGAGGCATCTCTACCCTCTGCCTGCACTTTTACTAAAAGAAGAAGGACTCAAGCCCTTCGTTCTCTCCCCAGAAATGAGAGGATGCCGAAGTGGACACCGCGGCTGACTACAATTTGGGAGACCTGCACTGAGTCGGTAAGGCCAGAGTAGCTCCTCCCTATGGTAATGGCAGATGCTCTGTCTCTGTGCATTTGTTAACATGCCAATAGACGGAATATTTGCCTTCTTATTTCAGGATCCATCGGACGTGGAGGAGGGCGGTGCAGGAGGAGACAGTGCCTGTCTTTCAGGGTAGGTAACACTTTTGAGGGTGAAACTTTAGCAGAAGGGAGGCATCTTTGCCTCTGCTTCTGCTAAAGGAAGAAGGACTCAGGGCAATTTCACCGGCAGGCCAAGCCCCTTGGCAGGCCACCTGCAAGGGTTCTTACAGCTTCCACATGACCACTCTTGCAAAAGGGCCATGGCTACTTTTGATCTTTGGCCCCTTTGTTTTCTCCCCCCAGAGAGGAAAGGCAAGAGCACTGGAGGCCGCGGCTGTCCACCAGTTTGGAGACCTGCACTGAGTTGGTAAGGCCTGGACACATCCTGCCCACGTGAAAAGAAGAAGCCCTGTCTCTGTGGATTTCTTGATATGCCAACAGACGGCATCTTTGGCTTTTTATTTCAGGAACCACAAGACCAACCAGTGCAGGGGGAGATCTCTCCTGACCTGGAGAAAACATCTTCAGAGGTAAGAAAGTTTTGGCTATGGGAAGTGGGAGAAATTGGGCTATACATCCTTCTAAGCTTAAGGCTTGGAAAGGCTCTCTTGCTGTTGGCCCATAGGGCCATAGGAATCTTATTGGGACACAGAAAGTTGAGGATTTAGCAACCTTAGTATCATTTGCAGGATTCGCTGACAGTCCTGGCGGGCTCCAGGACCAGCAGCCTCTGGGATTTGGACCTCGACTCCCTTGCTGACCTTCTGGAGGAGGAATCTGAGGATAGCTGGGACCAGGATGCGGAGGCTTCTTCCAGTCCATGGGTAAGAAAGACAAAGGCTTTTCGGTTGGGGTGGTCTGGTGGGATCGGTCCCTTTGCCACAAAGTAGCAGGGACTGGTGTCCTAAATGGGAAATGTAATCCCCATTCAATAGGCCCTCTTTTAGGAATCCTGATTTTTTTTTCTCTGATGGCTAAAGAGGAATGACTGTCGTTCACAGGATTCTCCAGAGGAGGGGGAAGACACCCTGGAGGATCTCAGCAGCCTGGAAGAGGACATCCTGGACTCCCTGGACCGCCTTCTTCAATGAGAAGAGGTATCTATTTTACCTTCCTCACGGGTCAATGCCTTGCCTTGCGAAGCTCAATGAAGCAATGAGCTATGCTGTGCCGGGCCATTTAGGTCAGACAGGTCATAGTCGAGGGTGCTGACACAACATGGTCCACTGGAGAAGGAAATGGCAACCCTCTCCAGTCTCCTTAGTAAGAAAACCCCAGGAAAAGTATGAAAGGGCTACCATGCTAGAAGATGAGCCCCTCAGATCGGAAGAGCGGAGGGCAATTACAAGTAGCTCCAAAAGAGCAAAGTGGTCCTAATAATAGCCTTTGATTCCTCCCCCAGATGCTTCCTCAGATTCGTCTCCAGAGGTCAGCTTGGAGGAGGAGGAACCAGCCCCAGCCACCTCAGGAGGTGAGTTGGTCAATGGCTCTGAGTAGCCTGCTGAGAATGATTGGGCTGAAACAACAGCTGCAGCAGGGCAGCCCTGAGATTTCAGGTGGGGAAAGCACCCAGCTGGTTAGTGAGGAGGAGGAGGAACTGCCTTCTGCACCTGAACCAGGAACACTTAGGGCAGAGAAAAGGCAGGAGCAGCAAAGGTCAGCCCGATTACTTGCGAGGCGCCAGTCTCGCCATTCTTGATGGGCTGCACCCGAAGCTGGCTACTTAGCGCAGCAGACAGACAGCGGTGATGCTGGGAACGTGTTCATGAGCAGGGGGTTGGACAAGAAGACCTTCAAGGTCCCTTCCAACTCTGTTATTCTGTCTGCCTCTAGGACGGCTTCAGCAACGGAGGGTATTGTTGTGGTCCGCCACCAACCTGCGGAGCTGGCAGCCGAGTCGGACAGTGAGGAGGCGGAGGAAGAACACGGGCCAGTCCTGGAGGCTGGGGAAGGCCCGGATGAGGGCTCTGCGTCGGAGGCAGAGATGGGGCGAGGACCATCTGGGAGTGATGTGCAGATTCTGGCCGGGTGCTTCTGTCTGGGCCTATTACGGCCACCACTCAACCCTTGCACATGACCATCGGGTCTCATGAGGACCCTATTCAGTTTTATTTTACCTCCGGCCTGCATTTTCTCGTGGTTTGGGGCTTGGCTTGGCTCAGGAAACCAGACCCGCAGATCTATTGTTCCCAGAACTTCATCTCTTTTCCGAGCCTGCAATGTGTGGACCACACCCACCACGACTGCCCCATTAATTTGATTCTGGATGCTCCACTCCCATTGGGGCGTTTGTATTCGATGTCGGACCCTGAGTTGGTTGTGTTACGGGACTTTGTGGACAAAAATCTTGCTCAGGATTTTATCTGGCCCTCGTCGCCATTGTCTGCCCCGGTCCTGTTCGTGAAAAAGAAGACTGGAGACTTCCGGCTTTATTGTAACTCCCGCAAGCTAAACGCCATCATAGCGCGCACCCAGTATCCTCTGCCCCTTATTCCTGAACTCTTGGAACTACTTCTGGAGGCTACTGTCTTCACTAAATTGGACTTGCGAGGAACTTATAATCTTCTTCGGATCCGTCCCAAGGATGAATGGAAGACGGCGTTTGGCACTCCTTAAGGACATTTTGAGTATACTGTACGGTCATGCCGTTTGGGCTGACCAATGCTCCTGCCATCTTCCAACATTTCATGAATGACATTTTTAGGGACCTCTTGGACAAGTTTGTCGTAATTTATTTAGACAACATTCTCATCTATTCTCCTTCCCAGAAGACCCACCAACAGCACCTCCGCCTGCTCCTGCAACATCTTCGGGAGCATCATCTGTATGCTAAACTGGAGAAATGCCAGTTTTTCCAGTCCACCATTGAGCTCCTGGGGCATTGAATCTCTCCCGAGGGCATTGCCATGGAGCCGAGCAAGGTGGAGTCTTTGCGTAGTTGGCAACCTCCTTGGTGACTGAAGGACCACTGTCTAGTGCCTCCTTGGGTTCGCCAACTACTATCGGACCTTTATCCCAAGCTTTGCTGCCAGGATCATGCCTCTCACTCGGCTTCTGCAGAAAAAGTCCAATTTCGGTTGGGTACCCCCGAGCAACAGGCACTCCAGGCCTTGAAACAGGCCTTCATGAAGGAGCCTATCTTGAAGCATCTTGACCCCCACCATTTGTTTGTGGTAGAAGCAGATGCATCGGGTGTTGCTGTTGCTGCGGTCTTGCTACAGGCTCGCGCATCTGGCGGTACCCTCTTCCCTTGTGCAAAGTTACTACAGACCACCCAGAAACTGAACCAATGGTAGATTCAGTGGTCCCTCTTCTTTGCAAGGTTCAATTTCAGCATTACGTACATCCTTAGTGGTCACAACCAAAGGGTGGATGCGCTCTCGCGGAAACCGGAGTATTCCCACATCGAAGACCCGCTTCTGCTCCAGACAGTGTTGCCTGTAGAGTCTTTCTCCGTGGTTTAGGAACCAGTTGATTTACGGGCTCAGATACAGGAAGCTCAACGGCATGATGCTTACGTGGAGCAACGGAAGAAAGATGTAGGGCCCGCCTCTCCATGGACGTTTCATGAGGAACTCTTGCGGTACCAAGACAGGCTCTAGCTGCTGGTGGGGCCGCTCTGGGGACTTATCTTGCCGCAGTGCCATGATAATCCTGCGGTGGGGCACTTTGGCCGCTTTAAGACACTGAATCTAGTTTCTTGCACTTTTGGTGGCCCCGATTGAGACACGATGTCCAGGCTTATGTCACGTCTTATGTTCACTGCCGACAGGCCAGGTCGGCAATGGGAGCCGCTTCAGGCCTGTTCCAGCCATTGCCACAGTGCCACATGACAGAAATGAACCACCCGAGTATGAGGTCGCCAGCATTCGGGACTCCTGGTGGGTAAAAGTATCTAATTGAGTGGAAGGGATATGGACTGGAGGACTTTACTTGGGAGAATGCGACGTCTGTGCATGCACCTATCTTGGTGAAAGCAGTCCATGACCTCTTCCAGTCACAGCTGCATCTGGATCGTCAGACCTGGGGGAATGGCCCTGCGGTGAGCGATAGTGTTGTGGTCCGCCAGCAACCTGCTGAACTGGCAGCGGAGTTGGACAGTGAGGAGGCTGAGGAAGAACATGGGCCAGTCCTGGAGGCTGGGGAAGGCCCAGATGAGGGCTCTGCGTCAGACGCAGAGCTGGGGCCATGGCCATCTGGGAGTGATGTGCGGACTCCGGAGCCTCCAGAGCAGTGGTTCTCAACCTTCCTAATGCCGCGACCCTTTCATACAGTTCCTCATGTTGTGGTGACCCCCAACCAGGGGTGGGTTCTAAAAATTTTTACTACCGGTTCTGTGGGTGTGGCTTATTTTGTGGGCATGGCTTGGAGGTCATGTGACTGGGTGGGCGTGGCTAGCTGGTCATGTGACCGGGTGGCCATTGCTATGTGTATAGGGACTACTCAGAGGGCTGAAAAAAGTCATTTCTGACAGGTCCTTGCACTTTTGACTGGTCCTCACACTTATGACCATCCTCACATTTATGCCCATGCAGCATTCTTAACCACCGTGTCACTCATTTCACAACTGCTTCTCTTCACCATGGTGACAAAAAGTGTAAAATATGAGGATAGTCGGAAAATTCGAGGACTGGTCAAAAGTGCGAGGACCAGTCAAAAATAACTTTTTCAGACCTCTGAGTAGTCCATGTGCACAAAAGGACTACCCAGAGGGCTGAAAAAAGTGATTTCTGACAGGTCCTCGCACTTTTGACCGGACTTCGCACTTATGACTGGTCATCATTTATGCCCATTGTAGCATTCTTAACAACCATGTCACTCATTTCACAACTGCTTCTCTTCACCATGGTGACAAGATAGGGCAAAAACATAAAATGTGAGACAGTCGTAAGTTCGAAAACTGGTCAAAAGTGCGAGGACCAGTCAAAAATAACTT